AATCGGGAGATATACCACTTAGTCTTGTTCTAAAGTGACTTATCGGGAGATATACCACTTAGTATTGTTCTAAAGTTACTGATCGGGAGATATACCACTTAGAATTGTTCTAAAGTTACTGATCGGGAGATATACCATACCGTAGTCTTGTTCTAAAGTGACTAATCGGGAGATATACCACTTAGTATTGTTCTAAACTTACTGATCGGGAGACATACCACTTAGTATTGTTCTAACGTTACTGATCGGGAGATATACCATACCGTAGTCTTATTCTAAAGTTACAAATCAGAACATATACCATGATATCATACCTTAGTCTTTCCTTCATATTGATGCCCTAATTTGTGAACCGCTTTGAGACGACCTGCGAGCTAGCTAGGTTGTGATAAAGTGGTATATCAGAACCTCGAATCATTATTATCATAAGTCACCTTTTCTGATTAGTAGTAACTCTAATTTAATTATTGATAGATTAAACAAATATAATTCTGAACAAAAAATCAACACTACAAATGGCAGAAAACCTTAATGAGTTATTTTGAAGAAAAAATTCTTTCAACACCAAGTAAGAAAGATAAAATGAACTTACATTAACTTTCAATTACAAAATATTCCTGATTGTTTTTGCATTGTTTAAAAAAAAATAAAAAAAAATAACGTACATGTAACTTGGGAGAGTTTTAACCAAAACTTAATATCATGACTATAAACTTCCTTGGAAGTTAACCAACAAGACAATTTTGCTTACAAGCCTTAATGCATCATTTAAATTTCAACTTTAATAGACAGTAAGTAATATTGCTCCATGATATTTTTTAATTGTCAGAGTTTGAATATACATACCTCCTACGTTGGAGTTAATGATTTATATTTTAGCTGTTCGAAGTGCAGTGAAACCAATTTATACCAGCTTCAGGCACAGATGACCTTGAATATACTGTAACGATTACCGTGAAATTTGACTTAATCGATCTCTGATATTATTGACATTTGACTATGAGACAGTTTGTAGTATCTGACATGATGTTAAGGACCCTTGATAATTGTTTTATTTCTGACTTGATCACTGAAATTAAGGAATGTCACTTACCTGCAATGTACAACCAACGGTCCCGGTAGGCTAGTCTGTTGTTGATCTACTGACCGTTGGAACTGGACCAACTGGAACGGGTTAGGAACGCCGTGATCCGGCCAGGTGATGAAGTGGAATTGGAACATTGTGCGCTTTTCTTCAGTCTTTGAAAAACATGTTTATCTTAATAATTTTTGAGAAAAAGTTTGACGCTTAACATTTTCAAGTTTAAAATATGCTACGAATAACGTTTTGTAAAGAACGACAGTTATATGTATGCAATTGTTCGCGAAATAATTGTGATCTGCAATAGACAGAAAGGGATTTATCTACAACCTATTTGTTGAATGTTGAATTACATGCCCAAAAAGGTCGTGACATACCTCTTGATTCATTATACTCAAAGTCCGGGATATAAAAGCTAGGAGACGCTTTTCCTCCATGACGGTTACCGATAGATGTCCATTAGTCATCGTTTTACCGACAGGCGGCCAGTAAGGATGACATTTCGACTAAAAATTGAAAATTGAATAACCAGTTAATATTTGCATGTATAATTTACAATCATTATTTTATCAGAGCTGCACATCGGTCTACATTACAGTTGCTGTGTGTCCACAGATAAGAACGAGTTTGAGATTTTGTATCATTGTTTCATTAAAACCTGTTTATTTACACAATTTTCGATCCTTTTTTCTTTTCAGCTCTAACTAGAAATATGTGACGTCATCTTACTGTTCACTCTTACGTAACAGTGGGTAATATTAAACATGTCACACGGAAATATTATCTGATAGTTTTATACCATTGATAAACAGCCTGATAAATTGTATCAGGAGTGATTTATTGTAGTAAAAATCATATCTATATATCGTCCAATATAATTTCAAAATTATTCTAAAACGCTTGACCGTACATGTACAATACTCGTTCTAGAGATATTGAAGCATATGAAATCACAAAGTATAAAGTACATAAATAAACACTTTAGAATTTACATTATTGTTCCCCCCTGGTAACAAAATCAGACATAGTTTTTACAAAAACTAAACAAAGTGAAGTTTCTGTTTTCCTAGCATCATTGATACAAATGGAAAGAACCCAAACCGAACGTCTGTGATTAGGCGAGCTGAAATATGATGAACTTTTGCCTAATGTTTATAACGCTGATGTGAGCTGTTTGCTAGTACGAGTAACCAGACATAATGTAATGACCTGGACCTTCTGCAAACGACCAGTTATTGAAGCGGATGACCACAGTGCATGGCATAACCGTAGTCTTAACGAGATGTTAAACGTGAATGCACTAAATTCGTTCATGTTTCTGTAGTGGTGAACACCCAATATCTAATATACCTGATCTGGTTGATAACCTCAGGGTTTTTCGATATCATTTTATTTTCCTCCATGTTTATTTGAATTAAACTCATAGACATTTTACAACGATACTACCTTGGTTCCTTCCTTTAGGTTTGTAACCATTACTATTTTCCCCGAATTCTGCTCCCAAATCATTCTCCAAAAATCCCATACAGTTCCTTCCTTCGGACCTGTAAATGCAAATTACTTGTTAGTCCGCATCTTTTATTACAAAAACATGTTTATTCCGACGGTTTTATATAGATCATCAAGACTTGACCGTGAGGCCGTTTTGGAAGCGTTTGAGCCCTGATGCGCTGGAAAGCGCAGGTTAATATTGATATTTATTTATTGCACATAAAATGTAATAAAAAAATCTATATGAATAAAATCTATCCAAAACAATTACTGAAACGCAGGTTGATGTAGCAATCTCCTCAACTAGGTTTGCAGATTATCAAACATCATGATTAGAAAATTTATATTGTTTTAATACTATTGCGACAATGGAGAGACATGATAACTGACCTTGTGTTGCAATGTATTGCTGCTCCTCGGTAACGGACTGGAAAAAAGAAAACGCATGACGGATAAGATTGTAATGTATCTGATACAAATCATAATCAGTTATAATCAGTTTTAATATAACTAACACTCACATCTACATATCCTTGTCATGTTTTTATGATGTATATTTACATAATATCAATGCACGTACATCTATAAACGCTTAATAAAGTGATATCTACATGATTTTACTTTAACTTATTGCTATAAACTGTTAGTTTAAATATTCTCCATATAAGTCAAAGGAACTAATGTCTAAGTACATTAACTAGTTATAAACATGTTGTTTTAATGTACGCAAATTCATATGTGGTAGGCTAGGTTATACTTTCAAATTTGAAGACAATTTAAAAAAAAAAAAAAACCTTCAAGAAACTAACCTCCATGTAATACTAAACACATACATCTGCTAACAGTATACATTGAACACTATTTGAGCGTATCTATATTAATGTGATACAATGCATTATTTTCTTTGTAATGTTACAGTGTATAGTTGATATTAGTTGTATATAATGTCAATGTACACACGTCCATACCCTAATAGTGTCAGTTTTATAAATGATTAATGTCAATGTACATACGTCCATACCCGAATAGTGTCAGTTTTATAAATGATTAATGTCAGTGTTCACACGTCCATACCCGTATAGTGTCAGTTTTATAAATGATTAATGTCAATGAACACACGTCCATACCCGAATAGTGTCAGTTTTATAAATGATTAATGTCAATGTACGTACGTCCCTACCCGTATAGTGTCAGTTTTATAAATGATTAATGTCAATGTACACACGTCCATACCCGTATAGTGTCAGTTTTATAAATG